TTATTTCGCTACCGCTTTCTAATACGTTAATGCTAATTGTTAATATCTTTCCGGGTAAAGATACTATCTTTAAATTCCCGTTTAATAATAATTAGAATATTCCTAGGCCTAATTCCTAATTAGTATACTAAGATAGCTACTCTCTTACACACTTCTTTAGTTCGTTTATAGTATTAGGTATAGGTAGAAATATATAACGATGGCCTATAATTGTAAATTTGGGTTAGGATTATTAGAAGGTCGTTAAATTTATTTTTATTTATTCTCTTTAAGGGCAATAATTATACCCGCCTATTTACAATTATACTTCCAGCTCTTCGTCTTTCTAACCGTAGTAATAGAGGGACGAAGGCGGCTATTATAGTTATAAGTCAAACGGTAGTATATTAGCTTACCTTCACGGTAATTAGCTATTTAACTCCGAATGAAAGCTACTCTATAAAACCGTCCCTATTTATTGAATGCTTTTTATACCTTTTCTATAGAAGGGAGGTGGTTTGGTATAATATTTTGAATTGTTGGATTAGGTATATTATTATCGTCTTAGGAATCGGTTAAGGAACTAACGCCATTGTTTTCTTTAGACTATTAAGTAGATATAAGTACAGTATTGGGTACGGGTATGGGTATGGGAGCGGGAGAAGAAGGGCGAGGAGGAGACGTGGGTGTAAGCTTATCTCTACTAGAGGGAGTTGAAAAGTGGGAGCTGGAATCGCTGCTAATCTCGATAGTAAATATATTGCTAATAAGAGGTATTAGTATATAGATAGAGTATATTGTAAGGACTTTACTGACGTTGAAATTGTATTGGTACGATTTATTTTGGTAGAGTGATAATAATTAATTGGTTTTGCTTACGCAAGCCTGCTAATCTCGCAAGTCTGTGTCGGTTGTGTAAAATCGCGCATTTACAAATTCTTTACGGTAGTAGTGCTTAAATTGATAAGCTGAGCGGGTTGGGTTATATATAGTTAGCTAATTACTACTAGGGTTAGGGATTACTATGGTACTGCGTGGGTAGGAATCCCTATATAGATGTTCCTACTCGCGTAGTAACACTGCGCGGGTAGAAAAGTGACACTGCGCGCCGAGCAAGGCTCTTAATTAAATCTACCCGTCCCGCTTCCTCCTACTCAATTACAAAAACCTATTGTAGGTAATACTCTAAATATACTATTTGCGCTACGATTGGAAATCGGACCCGTATAGGTATACCGACGATAAATAAACCAATATAAAGGATTGTATCGATACTATATAATATAAAGCGCTCTTTCTATATTCTATTAATACCTTTATATTGTTAATTGTCTATACCTTCTACCCCTAAATAAATATACTTGTAATTATATTTTTCGAATTCTACGAATATACTAACGAGGAGTTTACTTAGTATAAATCCAAATCACTATTTAATAAAACGATCCAATTCATGATAGGCTAGATTAGGGACTACACGACCGACTTCTACTTCTACTAATAATATACCCTCCCTAAAGTATATAAAAATAATATATTTAATAAGTAAGCCCTTAAATTCTCTAAGCAAAACATCGAACATACTAAAAAGTAGGTATATAAGAAGTTCGACTGTATATTGTATATATTCCTCTTTGAATTTATTATTCCGATTTTAGATTAGGAGACTAACTTTATCGCCGAGAAAAAGAATAAAAAGCTACGGCTTTTCTATTTTAACTTGGTATATATTACTACGCTCCAGGAAGTAGGGGACGTCTATATAGAGGAACTTACTATAGTAAATAATAAGGGCCGTATACAAATATAGATTTATAATAATAATACATAGCTAATTAATCTCCGCGCCCGTTAGAAGTATAGGAGGGTTTTTAACAGTCTTACCGTACATCCAAACTTGATAGATATTGAATTGGACCTTTTCTTTCAAACTGATTTTACTATTCTACATATAAACAATATCGCTACAATCAGTCCAACGGAGTTCTAAAATACATACAATACTACGGACTTACCCCCTCCACTTTTATCGTCGCTATCTACTCCCGATAATCTAAAATTATTATATATAATTAACGTTCGGAATTGTAATTGCGATTACGATACTAAAATAGTCGTTTCAGAGAACCTACTAGAAGATAACATATTTATAGGCCTAAGGCCCAATTTACCTATACTATCGGTTATTAAATTAGTAAAGAGGCGAATACCCGCATTTAAATAGTAGTAATAAAATATGAAAGATATTTAAATCTTTATATACACCTGTACCCGCACCCGTATCGCCCTCGCTAGTTCCGAAGCCTAAATTTAAAATAACCTAGGAATAAATAAAATAATTCGGTATTTTTATATAGTATATATATAAGTTAGTTTCCAATGTAATAAAGAGGAAGGCTGATATACTATAGTATATATAGGAATTTTAGTTAGTAGATTATTCTTTTGACGATATGTTGGCGAAAATTGAGCTATTTGTATTCGAAATCGAAGTTATTCTAAATACCCTTCGGCCGTAAATTATTATAATACTTAAAATGATAGTTAGGAAAGAGATATTCGTACCGCCGCCCCCCTATCCCTCCTACAACAAAGCCTATAAAGCCTAAATTAACAACCGAAAAGAAGGTTTCGGCCGTTCCCCTCCCTTTATATATTAAAGGGAAAGCCTCCCCGCACCTTGTTGAATCCTAGACGTACCCTCCCCCACCCAGAAAAGTGGGACTACAGCTACATGACACCTGACATTGAAATTCCCGTTTTTGCCTGCTAAATTTCGTTTTTCTAATATCCACCAACATCTCTCTAAGTTAGTCATTTTCGTTTCTCTTTCTTACACCCTAATAGCCTTCTTTTATTTATTACTACTATACCTATTACTACCACATCTATAACTACTATAGGGCACCTATTACCACTATACCTATTACTACTATACTTATTACGTACCGACCTTAATAAGTAGCTATTAAGAACTCTAAATATTTTAAGCCCCTTCCTAACATATAAAGGATGCGGCTATCTTCCCTTGTAGTAGATTGGGAGTGGATAAGGATTTTCAGCGATATATTTAGGGACATTAGAAATCTCGAAATCACCAACTAAAACGGCCGGTATTATATAACAACTATCATTAAATGGGATAGGGTACGTCTAGGAAAAGGGAGGGTGCGGGGAGGCTTTCCCATATTAAATCCCCCCAACCCGAGCGTCCTACTACCGAGCGTCCTACTACCAACCCTACGCCCAATATTAAAGAAGAATAATTTAGTATAGGAGCTCTAGTCTTCGAAGAGGATAGGATATAGACTGTATAATTAAAATTGGATTTCGATTATTTTAAAAAGTTTATAAATAAAGTAATTAACGGGTTCTTAAATAAATAGTACTAAGAGTTCGCTACTTAATTTATAAACAACCAACCAAATTTCAATAACTCGTAAGTGTATATAAATAGTATTTATAAAATTATCCGGTACGTACGACGTATTAACGGTTTATTTCGTCCAACGACCCCTATTAAGTTACCGAAAAATAACTATAACGATTATTAAAAATTACTTTCCGAACTCAAAAAAACAATTACTACTATATATCCGCGAGGGCCTAATGGATACATTATTGGATATTGAAGGCGAATATAACCTATAAAAGCTATAAAATATATTCTAGTTAGGATTGTACGTATAATGATATTCTTTTACCCTGACTATATAATTATAGCGCCTTATTAGTATGGGGTCCTTCTCCAGTTCTCTAGAGGGGAAAACCGTACGGCGTTAAGCGCTGCCGGAAAAAAACCCCTAACTTTATTTCGGCTATAGTTTACCTACACCGCTCCTACTTTACTTATAGCTATAACGGTTCTTACCTACTACTATAGTAAATTAATTTCGTCTCTTTCTTCGCTATATTATCCTAATACTAGAATAATAAGAATAATAGGGATATAGTTAGGGATATCGCTTTCCTTCGCCGCTTCTCCGTCTCAACTTTTACCGCCCCTTCTTCCGCCTTCCGCCCGCTTTTCTATCCTATCTTCCTATTTATATCCCAACCCCTCCGCCTCGTTACTCCTATTTATATTTACCTCCGCCCTATCCCTTTATTTCCTAACCCTTAATTTTACTTCTATTTTTAATAATATAAGGGCCTTCCCTTCTATTTATATAATTTTCCCTATAATATCCCTTTTTAATTCCTTCCTACCTTCTTTCTTTCTTATAATAATATTATTTAAAATAATTTCCTCTAATTGTAATTATTCTAACCTAATCGATTTTACTTCTAACCCTAAAATTTCCTCCCTAAAAATATTTCCGGGCTTTATAATTTCTTTTAATTTTATAGCCCCGGTTTACTTAAAATTTATAATATTTTTTTATATCCTTTATAATAATCCGGATCTCTAAATTCCTTAAAACTAATATACGTATCCCTTCTATTATTCCTAATCCTTATATTAACTTATATAATACTATCCGTAAAATCCCCTACCTTTACTCTACTTTAAATTTCGCTATAGTTTTAAAATCCAACGAAAGACTTACTAATCCCAATGCTTTTCGTAAAATCGTTATTAATAAGATTTACTTCGTTTCAACTTCTTATAAATTCTATATTCTTCTCTTTCTTACCCTTCTTTTCTAATTAATATTTTATTTCTAATTACCGACCTTTAAATTATAACCTATATTTATATCACCGGTAAATATATATTTAATATTCCTATTAATTTCTATAATACCCGTAATATAATTTAATCCGTAATTATTATTATAATATTAAGTAGCCTAGTTGGATATTATTAAAAATTGGATACCTTCGTTCGCGTTACTTAGTAATTTACTAAGTATATATACGGTCGTTTAATATAAAACGGTCTCCTAATTAATATTATTAGTTTTCCCCGTACTCCGTACTATAATACTATTATCTTCTAGTAGAAGGAATACTATACGCTATATATAAAGGATATTTTCTATAATCGCACTCCTTTTAGCTCTAGTATTAGTAGTATAATAAACCCGGTTCGTATTATTTTTAATTCTAGCGGTAGTACGATTACTCTTACGTATATTATATCCGGTCCTAGTAATAGTAGTGTGGCTACTCCTATTTGTACGGTCTCTAGTTTTAATAGTAGTAGTACTGCCCCTAGTAGCCCTATAGCTATCGATACCCCCGGCCGCCCTATTATAAACGATAATTGGGTTTAATAGTATTATAATGTTACTACGAACTAGATTCGTATAATAGAGCTTTTCGAGGAGCTTCTTAGGCGCAATTAGGCGTTAGATAGATTATACTTCGGTTTTTACTATAGTTGTAGTATAGATAGCCCCCGTAGTTAGTACAATCCTCTCCTCCCCGTCCCTTTGTTCTGGATTGTACGTATAGTTTGTAGTATTTGAAGTAGTATAGAATTTAGTCTAAATAGTAATCGAGAAAGCTAATTAATACAATAAAATTAATAATATAATTACTAATTTAAATATTAAGATATTGGATAATCTTCCTATACTAAGCGAATTAGTTCAATCCGTATTTCCTACTTTTATCGCTAAATTTACTATTAAAATAGCCGAAGGTATACTTAGGCCTGTAGATTTTAATGAGGTTCGTCGATACAATGAGGCTGCTCGCCGGGAAAGGGAATACGAAGAGCGCAAGAGGGCCGCCCGTAAGAAGTAATTAGATAAGGAAGCTGTTGGTATTAATAAAGAAGAAGTTGAGTGCTTATAGAAGGAGAAGGATAAGGAGGTGTTACGGGACTAGCCGTGACTGCCTGGCACATGCACGGCTCCTGCCATGGGCAGTCGAGCTTCGTGTTGCGCCATTACCGCCATTGGCCAATAGCACATCACGTGCATGTGCACGTGCGCGGGCCTATGCTTAGGGATTCGGCCTTCGTACTTCGCCCTATATCGCCAGACTTGCGTACACCTCTCTTTCCTTCTCTTTGTACAATTACGTATATCCAATTTACCCCCTACTAGTCGCCTTACCCTATAATAATTAATTATGCCTACTGTTATACTACGAGCATATAATTAATCAATTGCTACTATTATAAATATTTCTGACGCGCCTACAATTATTCTATCGTATTAAAATAATTCCCGGCCGTATTATACTATTAGGTTTGATTCTCAATTAATTTTACTAAATTGTATTATAATCCCCCGCGTTTATAAGGTAGTATACTTTATTTAATTATAGGGTAGTACTATCTATCCTTATATTAATTAAATTAACTATTATCGTTCGTTGCTGACGTAGGTGTTGTTATTTCTGCTATTAGTTCGATCATCGTCCCCGCAAACGAGCAACTTTTTAATAACTTTACAAAGGTATTCAACGGCAGGCCCGACCCCGGCGCCCTAGCTGAATACAATATTTTTAATACTACTTCTAAATTTACTAATTACCCTACTTTCGTTCCTACGATTATTGCGCTTGCCCGACTTATTAATTAGAACGTAATTAATACTAATATTCTTATTATAGTTGATAATAACGTACTCGAAAATAGGAATATGATTATTACTATACTTATTAGTAAAATCGCCCTTTTTAAGAAGCAATTCACCGTCGCTCAAAATAAATTGACTAACTCCGACTTCGCCTTTAATATTACTAATAAAGTTAATAGTAAGTTTAGGAAGGACTATACTACTAACCTTCGTAAAAAGAATAATACTATTAAAGAATTTAGAAAGACCTTCCGCTAATACGCAGACGGCGACCCAGCGGGTCCTCTTTAATTTATTAGCCCGGACGACGATATTAATATTATATTAACCCCGAAAGTAAAGACTAGTAAAGACCCTAACGCTTTTACCGGCGAAGGTAGTATAGTTATTAAATATACCGAATTTTACCGCGCCTAGTATACTAAAATCGAATTGTATTAATTCCAAGATACTTAATATTTCGATTAGAATAAGCGCTATAAGGTCGCTTAAGTATTCCAGTACTTAGGTAGCGCGGCGTTTTATACTCTATTTCCCTAAGTAATACCAATATCAAAGGAGGCCAATAAGGATAAGTAGAAGTAGAAGATTAGCGAACTCCTATCTACTTACTTTAATACTAAGTACGATTATATAGATTTTACTTTCCAATTATATTGCGAATTCGAGACTCTTAAAATAACTAAGAACTAGAAGTAGTTTAATTTCGAGGATAAGTTTATTACCCTTATAAATAGCTATAAATTACATAATTCTATAAAAACCTATTACTTAAAAATAAAGGTTACCAATAAAGTCCATAATATTATTATTTATTAATAGAATAACTCCACCGTTAACGATTATAATAAGTAACTTACCCTATATTATAGATTTGCTATTAATTTCAAAGAGCGTAATTAGCATAATAAGATTATTATTCTATTTACTAAAAACTCCGGCTTTAGTACTAATTTTATAGTCGCCGAGCGCACCGTTAATTAGGGTAGTACTGCTATAAACCTTGACACTCTTAACGTCTCCTTAGCCCGTATGACTAATAAGGCTATTATTAACTACTACGTATAGAATAATTTTTATAAATATTATAGTAATCCCGGTTATTAAGCGATTAATTACTATAATAATATTAATATAGGCATCCCCAAGGTAGAGAAATACTATAACTACTATAACCGACGTAGCCATAGTAATAGTAGAGGCAGGAGTAACGGTAATAAACCTACTATAGGCCAAAATAATTATAGTAATAATGCCCGCATTAATATTATAGGTACTAGAAATACTATTATTCTTAATACCGCTGTAACCGCCCCAACCGCCGCCCCAAGTCCCCCTGCTACCGAATATAACGAAGGAAATATATAACCTCCCTACTAAATTGCGTAGTCGAACTATCCTCCACAATAATAATAAGAGAGGAGAATATAAATCTAATAGATTTAGAAGTAGTTCAATTTAAGAATTCTACCTTGAATAACTATAATAATAATTCTATCTTTCTTTTTATTTATATCGTTTATAGACCGCGCAATTAATAAAGTAAGTACGCCGCCTTGATTGATAGTAAGTACTTTATACTCGCCTTCATCAATTATAGTTTTATAACCCGTTACGCTATACTATTATTAAAGCTCCCTAAATAAAAGGCCTTATACCTAACCGACAGCATCCCTCAGGATCTCATTATATATTATTATAAAATCTGTCTTCAAATCCGTTATTATGCTAAAATAATCATTATACTAATATACAACCTAGCCGCTAACTACCCTATAATCTTGGGTATACTATAATTTAAATTTTATAACCCCTCTACATTTTAATTAAATAGGTCGGTTATATTTATATAGATTAATATTAATTATTATCTACCCGCCGACCTACCCTTCTCCCTTCGCCGAGTATTTAGAGTCTAGGACCCTATAAAGCGCTACGAAATTATATAACGGATTATTACCCCTCCTACCCTAATGATAGAAAATAAATTTAAAGATAGGACGATAATCTTTGTATGTAAGGAATAGGAAAACGAATATACCTTAGTAATTATTGAGACCTACGAGCCTAAAACCCCCGAAACGTACCTTAGCGTCCTATTATTATTAATCAAGGACCCCGGCCCTAAGATTAAACCCGTACTTTACCGATTGGTCGCTAGTTAATAATAGTCTAATACGGACTACCGTATCTCTATTTGCCGGATTTATTATTCCAATAACCTAATTAACCTAATAAATATTAAAGATCTTATAATTACTAATTTCAATTAGTTCTACGAAACTTATAAACTACGAATATTTTAAATTTTGTATATAGAAATTAATAAAATTATAAAGGAGGCTAAGGCCGAGGAGGAGGCCCGGGCTAAAAAAGTAGAGGGAGGCGTCCTAGAGCCTAAGAAGTAAGGGGATAATAAAAGTATTATCGATAGAGGGGTAGGGATAGGATTCAAAGACCTTCTTACTGAAGAAATGATATAGGAAATTATAAATAGTAACAGCGCTGAGTATAAAAGATATTTAAATAAACATTTCTATTTTTAAATCGATGCTTACACTAGTAAAGGTTTTGAAGTTACCCTTGGCAGTACTAAAATCGCTAATGAAATATATTTTAACGGCTATTTGGACGAAGATTTTTAGCGCTACGAGGAAGTAATTAGAATCGCTAGAATTATAGAGGAGGACGCCGCTAAATTCTATAAGAAAATTAATAAACCCCCTAAGACTAATACGCAAATTAAGGAGAAACTCACTAACTGATATTAGAAGTATATTAATATTTCTGAAGCGCAGCTGTTATGGTCAGAGAATGAAGTGTTTACACGAAGTGAGCGAGCATAGCAGAGCTTCTTTCTAATGGGGCTACCCCCCCTGTAAGTTCTTCGTGCTGTGAGTGGTTCGTCAATTTGGGAATCCGTTCCTTGGATTGGTCTATTATTTGAGGTATCCGCTCCTTAGATTGGTTAGAATGATTGAAGCCCGTGCACCCGACGGGGGTCCCCGGGGGTGTCCCCCGGGTTTCTTTCTTTTAACTCTAATCCTTTTAATAGGGGGTCCCAAGGGGGCGGAGCCCCCTGGTTAGAA